GCGTTTGCTCCCGCTCCTCCATGGGAGGAAACAGCCAGAAGTTGACAATCTTCTAGCCAGAAAGAGGGCCCTTGCCCTAAATCAAATCAGTCAGCATCTTATTCTTGGACCTGCCAGCCTCCGGAACTGTGCAATATAAATGTCTGTGGTATTGTGTTATAGCCGACAAAGCTAAGACAACAGAGAGCTGACATTGACATTCTGTAACAAATAAAAGCAATCTAAACACTCATTGTGTTTTGAAAACCAAAGATATGAATTGGAAAAACTCCCATCACATGAGAATTCCAAATTTCCCATGGATGGGAATTGTCCCCATCCATTAAATCATAATGAATAATATACTTATTGATACATGTCTTCTAAAGTCTTGTCACTCTATTCTTACAGAAATATTTGTCTAAACACTAGTCCAATACTTATTGCCAGTGTAGCTTTTGTAATGGAAGGAGTAACATTTTACTCCATGGTGCAACTCATGTACACAAGGGAGGCTGAATCACTGATATGCAAGAAAACCCAATTTATTGGCCGATTTTACTTACAAGGTGCTGCTGTGGTCAGACCCTGAGGACAGGTTGCAAAGCCAGGAAAAAGCTGAGTTGAGCCGGGATCTAATGTCTTCCGAACTACAGCTCTTACCTTTACAGCCAGCTGTAACATTACCCTGAATGAGGCCAAATACTGTTTAGATAGATGCATGTAGGAAAGCAAAGTATTCAGATTTGGTGTGAATTGCCTTAAAGCCAGATTCTTTCTCAGGTTGCCTGGAATGGTTCAGGATGTTACCCTTTTGTGATTCAATTAATTGCTGTGGTATTTATTGAAAACCTACCATGGGCCCAGCACTGTTCTAGATGCTTAACGCCCAGCAGATGGAAAAAGCAACAATGAACAAAAGCTCTGCAGTCATGAAGCTGACATACAAGTGGGAAGAGACAGACAACACTCGGATAAGCATATGAATAAGTAAGAATTTCTGTCTAGCAGTTAGTGACATAAAGAAAAGTAAGCAGGTGTTTGTGATAAGAGGTTTTTGAAGGCCATAACCACGGACAGATTGTTTTCAATATTTTCAGTCGGAGTCAGTTTCCCTGATTTGAGGGTGAAACATGCAGGTCATTAGAAGCCAAGAAGGCAAATCACATGATTATATCTCTGCTGGAATCTGGCACTGAATGGTTGCTTCATGGATACTTGTGAAGGTGTGCATTTTGTTCATAGGAGACAGTTAAAATGTGCAAAGGTTTAATGGGGTGCATGGCATCCCTGTTCAGAATTGCTGTTAAATTACTTTGTGTCGAGCATCTGTATATGGCATGCACTGGGCTAAGGCCTTGGGGCACACACGTCATTTAATCCTCACAAAGAATCCTATGAAGGAAGTCCCAGTAGCGTCGTGTCCATTCTACAGCCAAGTCAGGGACACAAACAGGCAAGATGGGGCACACAGCTGCTCTGTGGCCCAGTGGAATTCATCCCCTGACATTCAGGCCCAGCAGCCATTTCTTATCTGATGTGTTCCCGGCCTCTGGAGGCACCTCCCACCACAAGAGATCATTCACAATGTTTTCAGCAGGGTGGTAGAGAAGAGCCCCTTCTTTTTTCTGCAGTATTCTCTCAGCAGGGACCTGTCTTCCTGGTGCTAGAATCTACCTGTAGCTTCTCTGCCAGCAGAGTTTGATCCCTGCAGAGGAGGCTGAGTCTTATTTAGTGAAGTTTGCCAGAGAAGGCTATTTCTTACCTCTTTCTAAGGCTATTTCTTAGCACCAATCTCTTGCTGCAGTATCCATTATTAGCTCTATTTGTGCCAGCAGGTATACATGGAAGGGTTTTGGGCATGTTTTCATGTCTGAATGGCTGCTGTCTCTTTGGTTCTTTCTACTTTCTTCTGTGCCATGATTGAAACTAACAAATTTAAGCCACTGATATTTTTCAATCATTCTTTAAAGGTGGTGAGACTACAGGTATGTTTTCAAAGGATTGATAGTTTTTGCTGATGGATGGCATGGAGTGTGTAAAGAAAATGGAGAAAACTAAGGGTTTTGGCAGGGATATGATGTTAACCCACTGTTTGAACTGAGCTGGCATCATCTGAGATGGGGAAGATTTAAGGAAGCGCAAGGGTTGAAGGAAGCTCAGGACATGTGGAATTTTGGACACCTTACCCTTGAGATATCTATGGGATAACGATGTGTATAACTCAGTATATACACGGGATTGGGAGTACCTGAATGTAGATGCCATGGGGCTGGCATGTGGAGAGAGAAGCCATTCAGGGCCTGAGTTCTGGAGCAGTCTTGTGGGATCCTGATAGGAGGAACATCTCCCAAAAGAGGCTGAGAAGGAGTCTTTCTAGGAGAGGGCGGTCACACAGAAGACTGAAGAACTTGTTACAAGAAATGGGGAGTCCTCAACTGTGTCAAACACTAAGAGGTTGAGTGATGAGAGCTTAGCATATTGACCACTGGATTTGGTGACGTGGAGGTTTCCTGTCATCTTAAGAGCAAATTAGGGGCATGATGGGGATAAAAGCCTAATGCCAGAGGAATAAGGAGGGAATGAGAGCTCAGGAAGTGAGTAGAGGTGATTCTTGAAATAGCATTTGCTGTGGGGGACAGGATACAGAAGAATGGGACTGAAGGGGAAATGAGGTCAAAGAAGCTTATTTATCTATGTACACTTTGAAGATGGGAGTTATTTGTGAAGTTTTTAAGATGGGTGATTCTTGTGTATGTTTGTATGTTATTCTTTTATAGGCAAAGATTAAAAAAAAAGATTGTTGATGCAGAATGAAGAGAGGCAATAGCAATAGAAACAACATTCTCAGAGAAAATGTGTCAAGAGAATGGTTCTATGTGCTCAGTGGAGTGTCAGCCCTGGCCAGGGGCTGCGATGTCCTTCCACTGTTACAAGAGAGAAGGAAGAGAGAGCCAGGATGGGTGTCAGGAGGTTCACAGAGGGGCTCCTGTTTCGCGGCCTGTGTTTTCTTAGAGAAATAAGAGGAAATGTCTGCGTACCTGTGTGTCTTAATTTTTCATTGATAATCGTAGAATATTGGAGTAATCAAAATGTACAAGAGCAGTTGCTGTGGGTTGAATTTTGCCCTGAAAGAGATATGCTCAAGTTCTGAGCCCCAGTACCTATGAATGTGACTATTTGGAAATAGGGTCTTTGCAAAAAAAAAAAAAAAATCAAGATGAGGTCCTACAGCATTGGGATTAGTCATACATCCCTAATCCAATGAGTGGTGTCCTTATAAGAAGAGGTACATCGGACACACAGACAGATGGGGAAGAACACCATGGGATGAAGGAGGAAGAGACTGGAGTGATGCATCTACAACCGAAGGAAAGCCAACCAATTACTACTGGCAACCTACAGAATCTTGGAATAAACTCTCCCTCAGAGCTTGCCAGAAAGAACCAACCTCACTGAAACCTTGATTTCAGACTCATAGCCTGCAGAACTGCCAGAGAATAAATTTCTGTTGTTTAAAGCCACGCAGTTGTAGTAATGTGCTGTGGCCTCCCTAGGAAATTAACACAGCTGTGTTGCATCTTGAGACATAGATAACCCTCAACCGATCCTGTTAACCAGATGCTAAACTTTGGCAAGGCTCTTACTTGTTCTCATAGTAGGAGAGGAAAGACAAACAGCTTTCATGCACAGTGCCCATGGGTTGCAGCAGAATCATCCAAACTGTTCTCCTTGCTTCCTGCTCTGACCTCTTCCAGCCTGTTCACAACCAAGCACCTGTGATCCCTGGAAGGCTCCAAATCCTTCAGGGACTTTACACATCATGGACAATAAAAGTGAAAGGACTTCCAGTGTCCCACTATCCCACATGCAGCCTGAACCTCTATTACCTCTTTTACCATACTTCCTACTCTTCTAGCTATTCACTGCCTCTGCTCTAATCACTTGGCTTTTCCTTGAGTACATCAGGCACAGTCTTGCTGTATGGTCTTTGCACAAACTGCGCCCTCCATCTGAACGGCTCCCACCAAAATAGCTGCCTGGCTAACTCCAACATCTTTCTCAACTATTGCTTTCCAATGAGGGCTACTCTGACCATGCTATTGTAAAGTGCAATCCAACCCCCCATGCCCAGCACTGTGGATCTCCCTTGTCCTGCTATATTTTTCCTCGGCATTTATTGCCTTCCAACATATCATATATTTTATTATGTGATGCTTAGTGTCGCCCTTTTGTCATCCTGTGAAAAAACTACCCTCACGGGGTGAAGATTCTTGACTCTTTCATTCACTAACAAATTTTAAGAACACAGAACAGTGTCTGGCTCACAGTTAGTGCCCTACGAGTTTTGCTGAATGAATGAATAAGGGTAATGTGTATAGCAGAGTAATGTAAGTATAACCAGGTAAGCGATGAGTTCATGGTAGCAATGATCATAAAAGGATTCTATTATAAATTATCACTGGACTCAAAATGGGAGTCCTAGCACAAAAGACACGTACTTGCCATCACTAAAACATTGCCTACCCAAATGATGCCTTTTCTCCACAAAATTGATCCCTGGTGAGGACTAACTATTGACTGCCCACTGAGTGGTGACTCCTTATACTAAGCACCACGAATACAGGGGCAAGAGAAGGATGTTTGGCTGCACAGACGGTGTTTTAGGCACCCATCCTCCCAGGGAACCCAAGAGAAGAGCCCTGTACCTCCTTAGTATATGGAGAACCCAAGCTCCCAAGCCATTTCCCCCAGGCCATCCTAATGGCACCCTCAGCCTTGGTGGGAGAAGCGACGATGTTCCCACCCATCACCTTTTAATAGCCACAGGAACCTGCCCGCCCACCCACTGCACGCCCATTGGCTGGACAGTGGTAGAGGCGAGCCCTGATGAGCGCATGCTCAGAGGGAGAAGTCAGAGGGGAACCTGGGAGCTCCTTTGGAGGCTGCGATGTCCCTGACTCTCCCAAGGGGGGCTCACTATCGGCTGGGTCCCATGCCACAGAGGCTGAGGAGGAGAAGCAGGAGGTGAGTCCCTGAGGAGACGCCGTGACCTGAGGGCTTCCCTTACTGAGGAGACTTCGTGCTTCCTCTGTCACAAGCGGTGCCCAGGCTGGTGGTGACAACTGGGACGATGCTCAGGCTTCTGAGACTTGCTTTGGCCTTCTACGGGAGAACGGCCGACCCTGCAGAGCAACAGGGCCCACAGCAGCAGGGGCTCCCACAAGGTATTCCTCTGTGTGTCCACTTTTCCCCCACCCCAGAAGCCTCCCAGTAGGGGTTCTCCTCACCCCTGGAATGAGGCTGTGGTAACTCGGGCGGGTACAGCATGTGACGGCGGCTCCATCTTGTGTGTGCATGGGGAGGCAACCCTAGTCCTCAACAAGTCCCTGAGAACCAACTCCCAAACTCTCCTGTCCATCTAAAGCGGGAAAGGTGTTGACAGAGAAGACCTTGGGGGCTGTACCTCCTGTGCTTCCCCACGTGGTTGTGCAGCACATGCCTATTTATATTTCCAGTAGGCGAGAAACTCCCTAATTTGCGAGTGAATTTAGGCTTGTATCCCAAATGGGAATGTAATTTGAAGCCAAGTTGATACCTTATACTTATCCGATCCCGAAGGCACAGAACTCCTGTGGGGCAACTGCTGAGGTTTGATCCCTAAGTATTGCTGATCAGCTAGGCTTGTGCAGAACAAAAAAAGAAAGAAAAGAAGAAGGAAAAAAAAATAAAGAAAACCATTCAGATGCCGTTTTGGGCTAGCCTTCAATCTCCAGATATCTTTTAGTCTGCTGAGACAGTTAAGTATCTATAGAAAGTGCTACTCATCATAATTGGTGATAATGATGAAGGAACATAATAGGAGCAGAAGCTTGACTCATATGTAGACATGGTGCTAACAGGTAACATTTACACACTCTTGTGCAAGGCACTCACAGCTCTCGACAGTTGGTGTGCATGTTAATATTAATATTCACAAGCTGGGCTCGGTGGCTCACACCTGTAATCCCAGCTCTTTGGGAGTTCCAGGTAGGTGGATCACTTGAGGCCAGGAGGTGGAGACCAGCCTGGGCAACATGGCTAAACCCCATCTCTACTAACAATTCAAAAATTAGCTGGGTGTGGCGGCACACACCTGTAGTCCCAGTTGCTTGGGAGGCTGAGACATGAGAACTGCTTGAACCTGGGAGGCGGAGGTTGCTGCTAGCCCAGATTGCGCCACTGCACTGCAGCCTTGGTGACAAAGCCAGACTCTGCTCAAAAAATTAAAAAATAATTTAAAATTTTAACATTTAAATTTTGATAAATTTTAAAAAATATTTTAAAAACCTACAACAACACTATTAGTCGAAATTGTGATTGTTGTGGATTGACAGATGAAAACGAGGTCAGAGATGTTATAAAACTTCTCTGTCCAGGGTTATGCAGATGGTGAGTGTAAGACTTATTTGTAGTAGGTGTTTGCATTTGAGGCCAATAATATGACCTAGTTTCTTTATCTTGTAGGTGACACCCAGTTGAAAACTGTGCAGGGAGTTGTCACAAGTTTCTGTGGTGATTATGGCATGATTGATGAGTCGATCTTCTTCAGTAGTGATGTTGTGAGTGGCAACGTGCCTCTAAAAGTTGGACAAAAAGTAAATGTGGTTGTGGAAGATGATAAACCACTTTATGGATTCAGAGCAATCAAGGTGAGATGTGCATGAGTTTGGAAATTGTGTCTTATCCCAGTGGGCTTTCTTTCTGCATCTTTCTTTTCTTGTATTAATCCAACATCTCTGCTGTGATCCGTAGAGGGGATGTAGACCGCAATTTGAAGCCCCACCCCTCTGAATCTGTGGGTTCTTCTGTTCTAATAGTTGTAGTAATTTGTGCTGTAAAACATAAAAATTACTTATCTATTATTCTAATCTTTGAACAATATGAGTAACAATAATAATTATTGAACTCTTTATAATCCTGCAACTTCCCTTATCAGGTAAAAAAACATTTTCTGTAGTGTGCATTCATAGCAGTGGAATTTCTATGTCAAACCATGTGCGTTGTAAATATTTTTAAAAGAGCTTCATGGAATTATAATTCCATGAAGAATGTCATTTGTATTTTCATAGGAGTTGCATTGAATCTGTAGATTGCTTTAGGTTACGGACATTTAACAATATTTATTCTTCCTGTCCATGAACATATGATGTATTTTCATTCATTCCTGCCTCCTTCAATTTCCTTTGTCAATGGTTTATAGTTTTCAGTGTTGCAATCCTTCACCTCCTTGGTTAAATTTATTCCTATTTTAATTTTTTTGAAGGTGTTGTAAATGGGATTGTTTCTTGATATCTTTCTCAGATAGTTCCCTATTGTTATATAGAAATGCTACTGATTCTTGTATGTTGTTTGTGTGTCGTGCCACTTTCCTGAATTTGTTTATTAGACCTAGTAGCTTTTTGGTGATGTTTTCAGGGTTATTTATATATAAGAGCTTCCCGTCTGCAAACAGGGTCAATCTAAATTCTTCCTTTTGAATTTAGATGCCTTTTGTTTCTTCTTGCCTAATTTTTCTGGCTAGCACTTCCAGAAGTATGTGTGATAGAATGGGCAAAAGTGGGCATTTCTGTCCTGTTCCCGGTCTTAGAGGAAAAGCCTGGAACATTTCCCCATTCAGTATGTTGTTACCTGTGGGTTTATCATGTATGACCTTTATTGTGTTGAGGTGCACTCCTCCTATATCTAATTTGTGGAGTTTTTAATCACGAAGGAGTGTGGAATTTGATCAAATTCTTATCCTGCTTAAATTGGAATGATCCTATGACTTTTGTCCTTTATTCTGTTCATGTGATATAGCACATTTATTGATTTGTGTATGTAGAAAATTCCTTGCTTCCCAGGGCTGAATCCCTCTAGAACATGGTGAATGATTTTTTTAATGTGCTGTGGAATTTGCTTTACTAATACTTTGTTAAAGATTTTGCAACTGTGTTGATCAGGAATTTTGGCATGTAGTTTTCTTCGGTTTTCTCTTCTTTGTGTTTCCTTGTCTGGGTTTTCCACCAGGGTAATGCGTTGTGACAGAATGAGTTTGGAAGTGTTCCTCTCTTGCCCGTTTTTTTTTTTTTTTTTTTTTTTTTTTTTTTTTTTTTTTTGGAATAGGTTTAAAAGTATAGCTATTAATTATTCTTCTTTAGATATAAATTTGGTAGTATTAGGAAGGGAAGTCATTCTATCTTAGACTCTTCACTGATGGGGGATTTTTTATTACTGAATCACTTTCCTTACTCATTAATGATCTGTTCAGATTTTCTATTTATTCACCATTACATCTCGGCAGGTTGTATGTGTCCAGGAATGTATTCATTTCTTCTAACTTCTCCTATTTGTAGCCAGATGATTGTTCATAATCTTCCTTATGATACGTTTTGTTTTGGTGATGTCAGTTGTGCTGTCTCCTTTTTCATCTTTGATTTTAGTTATTTGAATCTTCTCTCTTTTTTCCTTAGTCTAGCTAAAGTTTTGTTGATTTGCTTTACCTCTTCAAGAAACCAAGTCATTGTTTCATTGATATTTGTATTGTTCTTCTCATTTCTATTTCATTTATTTCTGCTCTGATCTTTATGATTTAGGCCCTAATTTTGCATTGCAATTTTTTCTTGTTTGTCTAGTTCCTCAAGGTGCAGTGTGAGGTTGTTTATTGAAGATGCATATTTTCTTTTGAGGTAGGCTTAATTGATGTAAATTTCACTTTTAGAATTGCTTTTGTTGTATTTCATGGGTTTTCATATGTTGTGCCTTCATTTTGCTTCAACTCAAAAAATGTTTACACTTTGCTTCTAATTTCTTCATTGATCCATTGGTTATTTAGGAGCATGTTTTTTAATTTCCATCCACTTCTAAAGTTTCCACAGTTCCTACTTTTATTGATTTCTAATACTTCACCATTGTGGTTAGAGAACTGATTTGATCTTATTTCAAACTCCTTTAATTTGCTAGTATCTGTTTTATGGCCTGCCCCATAATCTATCCTCGAGAATGTTCCACATGCAGTTGGAAAGAATATGTGTTTTGGAGTATTTGGATGGAATGTTCTGTAAATGACTGTCAGGTCCATTTGGTCCAGAGTGCAGATAAATTCCACTTTTTGTGGAGTCAGTGTTCTGTTGGGGCAATCTGTTCATTGCTGCAAGTTGGGTGTTGAAGTCCCCTACTATTATTGCATTGCACTCTACCTCACCATTTAGACCTTAATATCTGCTTCGTATATTTAGGTGCTGCTATGTTGGGTCCATATTTTTGGAAATCATTATATCCTCTTGATGAATTGACTCCTTCATCATTATATAATGGTCTTGATCTCTTTTTACAGTTTGTGATATGAATCTTATTTTATTTGAAATCAGTTTAGCACCTCCTGCGCTCTTTTGGTTTCCCTTTACATGGAAGAATATCTTTTTTCATGCCTTCATTTTCAGTTTACAAATGTCTTTTAAGGAGAAGTGGGTCTCTCATAGGTTTGGTTGTTGCTGTTGTTGCTTTTTAAATTTATTCAGCTACTCTGTGCATTTTAGTTGGAGGATGTCATCCATTACTATCAAGGTAATTATTGATAGGTAAGGATTTACTGTTGTCACTTAGAGAATTTTTTCTACCTATTTTGTAGGTAATTTCTTCCTTTCTTCCTCTTTTACTGTTTTCCTTGATGGATAAGAGATTTTTCTCTATTAGTATGTTTTGCTTTTTTATTTGTTTTAGTGTGTCTATTACAGGATTTTTTTCTTTGTGGATAGCATGAGGCTTACAGAAACATAATCACAGCAGTTTATTTTACTGATAACATAACTTTGATCACAAAATGCAAACACTCTACCGTTTAACTCCACCCATGGATTTTGGGTTTTCTGTTTCACACTTTACTACAATTTTTTATATTTTATATCCCTTAATTAATTATTGTACTTATTTTATTTTTACTAGTTCAGTTCTTTAACCTTTACATGAAAGATATAAGTGATCTGGAAACCACCATTACCTTATTAGAATATTCTGAATTTGTGTAGTTACGTTTACTGGTGAGTTTTATACCTTCATATAATGTTTTTGCATTACTCATTAGCGTCCCTTATGCCAGTTGGAAGAACTCTCCTTAGCATTTCTTGTAAGACAGTTGTGGCGGTGAGGAAGTTTCTCAGCTGTGATTTCTCTGTAAAAGTCTTTATCTCCCCTTCACTTCTGGGTACATTATTCTTGGTTAGAGATTTTTTTCCTTGCGTTCCTAAAATAGACTATCCCACTCTTTCCTGGCCTTTTATGCTTCTGCTGAGAAGACTTCTGGTAGGCATATTGGAAGTGCCTTATATATGATTTGCTTCGTTCTTCTTGCTGCTCTTGGGATTCTTTATTTTTCATCTTTGACAGTTTGATTTTAACATGTCAGGGGGTAATCTTATTTGGATTGTATCTGCATGCAGAACTTTGGTCATCCAGTACCTAGATGTTTGTAACTTTCTCTGAGTTTGGATGGCTCTCCATTATTATTTGAGATTGGATGGCTCTCCATTATTATTTTTTAAATGATCTTTTTACTCCTCCCGCTTGAATGTGAATGACTCATACTATTGCTCTTCTGATATTGTCCCAGAAATCCAGTAAGTTTTTTTTTTCTTTCCGTGCCATTCCTTTTAATTTTGTCTCCTCTGACTGTATATTTTCAATGAAGCTATCTCCAAGTTTCCAGATTCTTTATTTTGCTCGATCAGTTGTTCTTTGGATGTTCTCTATTGTGTACTTCCTTCATTGTATTTTTCAACTTCTGGATTTGCTTGGTTTTTTAAACATTCTTTCAATCTTTCTTTCAAATTACTCTGATAAATTCTGAATCATTTCTGTGTAATTGTTTTCAAGGTTCACATAGCATGTGGAAAATAAATATTTTGAATTATTTGTTAAACAACTCATACATTCCTATCACTCTAGGGTCAATCACTGGCGCCTTGTTTTGTCAGTTTGGTGATGTCATGTTTTCCTTATTGTTCTTAATCTTTGTGGTCATGTGTTTGTATCTGTGTATTGAAGAAGTAGGTATTCATTTCAGTCTTTGCAGTCTAGCTTTTAGGGGACATCCTTTAGCAGTAAGCCTGTCCGGAAACTCTACATAGGTCTCTTTTGGTCCTTATGCTTGTGAACACTGCAGCTATTGAAGTCCTAGGGGGCTGCCTATTCCCAGGGACACAACGACAGATGCTACAATGGCTGAGATTCCCTTGGTTATGGAGGCTGGTCCCTTGTGAGACTGGAATCCAAACCTCCATTCACTGAGAACTCCCTGTGGCTGTAGAATATTCTGAGCATAAGGCCACTGGAATCACTCGACAGAGATGTAGACCAGGTATTGAGTTTGTTTTGCTGTGGTTGTGGCTTTCTGTCTGGTGCCAGGTGGGTCTAGAGACTCTGTCCACAAGTACCATCTGAGAGTCAGGGGCCATGGGCGTCTGTCAAGTGGTGACCTGATATTGGGTTCCCAGGCAATGTCCTATGCTTGCTACTATCTCTCTCCTCTGGGTGGATGGTATCTCTCTCTATGCTGTGCTGTTGAAGGTCGGGGAAGGGGTGATATGGGTAATGTAAAACTGTTCTTACTACCCTCTTCAATGCATCTTTTCTTATTTTCATGCTATAACTGGGTACCATGGTCTCTCATCTGGTTTCCTTATGTCAAATGAGGGTATTTTCATACAAGGATAGTTTTTCACATTGATGTTTCTGCAGGAGGACGATCACTGGAGAGTCCCATTTTTCCCTCTTGCTCCCCTCCTCCTCCATCTATTTAATTTTTACATGCTATAAATATGTCCATCTTGTCCACGTGGCTTCTGTGTTCAGGAAGTATCCTTAGGCTAATTCTAAGACATAATTTACAGGAGTATTCACTTAGCTTTTCTTCTGAAAGTCATTCATTTATTTATATCTAAACATACAGCCAGTCTGGGTTTGCTTTTCATGTGCAGGACTGAGAGAAGGATCCACATCTTGTTTCACTACTGGCTACTCAGTTGTCCCTCAACATTATCTGTTTGTACCTGCTGTTGTGTTGGTGGCATTTGCAAGGCATAAGAAAGAGAGTTGGGAGCCATGAGACGCGGGCAAAGTTTTAGTCTGCAATATGTCTGTGAGTTGGCATGGAGTCAAGGCTCAGAGAGGTCCAAGGGTCCTATGGATTACCCACTTGGATACTGTCAAAAGTGGGGATAGATACATGGGCAGGAGACTGGTGCCTCATTCCTTCATGATAGTAGGTGAGGGGAAAATAAACATCAGATTGGTATTGACAGTTGGAAAGGCACCAGTTAAGAAATGGGAATAGCAGCAAACTAGGCTATTTTTAAAACCATGAAAAATTACTGACAACTCAGTGGCTCAAGTTTCCATCAGAAGTCTTTGATCAGCAAATTCCAACCCTAGGAGTTTATCCTATAGTTCAGTCAGGCAAGTAGCCCAAATGCTAGGATACAAGTGAAATGTCTAATTACGTGGAATTGGGTTAGTAAATTATGGCACATCCATTAATTGGGATTCCCTATGACTCTTACTGTCCTTTCTTGTTATTTAAAAACCTTTGTGTTAATTTAATGTGATACTTTAATACTGAATACCATGCTAATTTGCTTTTAAAACAGGCATTTACATATGTATATATATATTTGTGCACAGACAAAAACATCAGGATGAGTGTTACTGCCAAAATGTAGTCCCTGGTGATCTCTTGGTAATGGAATATGGATTATGGGGTAACCGCCTTTTGCTGTCTGCATATCTGGTTTTTGTTTTTCCTATTTTTAGTACAATGAACTTGCATTATTTCTGTTAGTTTTAAGGATTATAAAATAAGGACTATTACACTTCCAATAAGGAAAAAGGTTTGTATGCCTCTTTATTGTAGATAAAGTAAAGCCCTAATTTGGCTTGGTTTTTTGAACCTTCCCCAGTTGAGGTTATTGCTCCAACTTTATCTTGTGCTTCTCTCTCCTAGGCCTGGATCTCGAATGTTAGGATTTTGCTCCCTAGGCTCCTAACTTCTGTTGTTTTTTTCTCTCCGCCTCTGTGCTCCTCTACCCCTGTTTACAAGGTTACACCTCTGTCTTCTTTCACAACCCAGCACAAATCTGACTTCCCCCAAGCAATGCCCCTATTTTCTCCCTGTCTGAAATGTTCTCCCTCTAGATAATTCACAGAAACCATTTTGAACTAGTTTTATATCCTTCATCGCAACCTGCTTATGACTACATACCTTTCCACTTTACCGTCATTTCATTGTGAATTTCTGCAGGCTAAGGACGGTATTTTTTAAATCTTGGAACCTAATGGTACAGGAGCATTAAACTCAGGTAGGCAATTAATGTTTTGGGATACATTTCACAATTCTTGAAGCACACACATGACTTTTACCATCATCTCAAGTCAATGGTCCATTTGCCAAGTGAACTATATTCACCAGTGTTTAGGATGGCTGTTGAAAATATTTTTGAATACAAGTGTTTTAATCATGTAATTTCCATGTTTAAATTTGTATTATTTTTGAAGTAACTCTTTCCTAAATCTTACAGGTGGATGTTGTGCCTCACCGCCTTTATGGTGCTGTACCCTCAGACTCAGGAACCAGAGTTTTAATTGGATGTGTTACTTCTATAAGTGAAGATACTATTTATATTAGTAACAGCATTTATTTTTCCATAGACATTTTTTCTGAAGGTATGATTTACATTTTGAGATATACGATCTAATTCTTAAATTTTTGAGAGGATTTTAGTCCTGGAACAACTTTTACAGTGTACTTGGCTTCAGTCAATGGCTCTTCAATGTTAGAAGTAGACCGTTCCAATCAAAATTAGGTACAATATAGGGGCAAATAGACAGTATTATAAATTGTGTGCTGTCAGCTATTGTGTGTTCATTTGTTCAATGCCCTCAGCAATGCCTGGATATATTTTTCATTCACATAAGAATTTAATTTCTAATCATGGAAACAATCCTACAAGTACATAGAGACACTATTTTTAATACCCTTCAAGGACTATACTTGAAGGGATCATTTCTGTAGTTGGTTACTAGAGAAGTTTCAGTGACAGGGTAGATTACCAAATTTTAAAAGAATACACTTCAAATGCTTCAAATTTAGGATTGGAGATAGCGCCTTGTGAGTGTGTGTGTGTGTGTTGTTGTTGTTGAATTCTCTTTGTAATCAGCAGATATATTCTAATATTTAGCTTCTACCCAATGATATTTTTTTTGTCTGTTTTGTCTACTGCTGCTGTCATATAGCTTGGGTATAAATGGGGAGATTAGCTCTGCTTCCCCAGGCAGCTTACTGGTTTGTTTTCTTAGGTGCAAAAGCAGGACTCTGACCTGAATTTTGTTTTAAGATGTTGACACTGTCTGCTTTGTTGAGAAGAGACTATGAGGGAAAGGGTGGAGTCAGGAAATCAGTTAGGAAAATGTTGTAATATTCCTGGTGAGAGATGATGGAGATGTGAATGAAAAATGGAGAAGTGGAGGACCTGAGGATTGAGTTGACTCTGGATATATTTTGAAGTTAGAGAAGAACCCAGGAGGTAATGGATTAGATCTTTGATGTGGAGGAGAAATGAGTCTAAGGTACCTCCAAAGTTTTTGGTTTGAGCAGTGGTGAGAGTGGAGTTGCCAGTTTGTGATGTAGATGACTGAAGTAAACAAAAGTTGGTGAGTACGGAGAATACCAGCAACTCAGCTTTACACATGTTAGATTGGTGTAAGCATAAGGATAATTGATCCTGAGGTTGGTTAGAGCTGGAGGTATATACATTTTGGAGTTATAAGCATATAGATATATGTTAAACCCACACAAAATAAATGTATGTAAATTATCAGAGAAAGAGAGAGAGAGAGACAGAAGAGGTCTAACACTGTGTCATTCTACAGTGTTAGGTCCTAAGGTGGAGAATTGTTTCACTTTGTTGATATTGCTAGTTTTCTGGAGTCATTGTGGCAATTTACTGTCTCACTTGCAGTTGGGATTTCCATTTGCTCCAGATTCTTTCATGTAACTTTGTTATCCTGTGACTCACTTTTAACTTACTGCAAACTTCTGTTTGAAACTCAGTGGTCTTAACTGTAACCTGTGAGGCAGATACTTAAGAGTTCATCAGCCGAACACAACACCAGGGGAAATTCCTTCATTCTGAAAGTAACAACATTTTCTTGTGGTACCGCTACCACTACTACCAATCAACTGTTATTTGGTGGTTACTATGCACCAGGAATGATTCTGTGTGTATCGCACATATCAACTAATTCTCACAGCAGCTGCATATCATGAAGGCTACTTACTGTGCTTCTCATTTTATAGATGAAGAAAACAAGGCACAGACAGTTTAACCACCTTTCTTAAGGTTGCAAACTGAGTGAGTGGCAGTGTCAAGATTCGAAGCCACGTAGCCAGGGTCAAACTTGTGCTCTTACCTACATGTTTGACTGCCTCTCACTAAGCAATTGTGAACACGAACAGTTGTTTAGTAAATCCTGTGCCGCTCCCTCAGATTGGCTGTGATGCACAGTTGACACTTTCCTCCATTTAAATTTGTTAAATCAGTAGAGGAGAATCAATGCCTAAGGATTATAAATTTCTTTTTGGACTTAGAGATTTGCAGTGTCTGTTTAAATATGCACAAAATGGACTTTAGTTCTAGCAGAACTGACTTTAAAGTAGTACACTATCAAATAACGTGTGAAATTAAACGTGACCTAGTTAAGAGATCATGACACTCACATTTCTCCATGGCTGTTTTAGATTTTGTGCCTTATAAGGGTGACTTGTTAGAAGTTGAATATTCCACTGAGCCAGGCATCTCAAACATCAAGGCAACTTCTGTGAAGCCCACCCGTTGTATTCATGCGGAAGAGGTAATTTCTTTCCTGTTGCTCCTGTCAGCAGTTTCTGATAACCCTTCCTTTGGTGAGAATTTACGTGACCAGGATTCTGTTGGGTGTAATGGGAATAACAGAAAATATGAAGAAATACATTCTTTGCCAACAAAGGAGCCACTTTTCTTATTGAAAAGGCAGGATCTTCCAAAGGAAATAATTAGAAAATTACGTAGAACGAGCACATGATTAAGTTTTTTTTTTTTTTTTTTTTTTTTTTTTTTTTTTTTTGAGACGGAGTCTCGCTCTGTCGCCCAGGCTGGGGTGCAGTGGCCGGATCTCAGCTCACTGCAAGCTCCACCTCCCGGGTTTACGCCATTCTCCTGCCTCAGCCTCCCGAGTAGCTGGGACTACACGCGCCCGCCACCTCGCCCGGCTAGTTTTTTGTATTTTTTAGTAGAGATGGGGTTTCACCGTGTTAGCCAGGATGGTCTCGATCTCCTGACCTCGTGATCCACCCGTCTCGGCCTCCCAAAGTGCTGGGATTACAGGCTTGAGCCACCGCGCCCGGCCTGATTAAGTTCTAAATTGTGCATTTTACTCAATATCCAAGTGTTATTAGAATCTTCCAATGACAGGAGGAAGAAAAACAATCTTTGTGCCAGAAAATTTTAGGGAAAGAATGAGCGGAATGTGTTGTGGGACTTGAGCTTACTAGTAAATGCTGAGGATGATTTGGGTATTAAAGCCTGAATATGCGCAGGCAATTCAAGGCAACAGAGGGTAATGGACATATTTTGGTAATATTTAGAGCTGGATTTCTCATTTGAGACCCAGGCCTCATTCCCAGAGAGTCTGATTTAATTGTTCTGAGGTGGAGCGTGGACATGGGTATTCTTACAAAGCACCCCTCGTGTTAGCAACGGGCCAACCAGTTTGGAAATCAATGATTTGCATCGAAGTGACCTGCACTCACGCAGGACCCAGAGTGAGGAGGTACAAAGCTGGTTACAGTGATTATTGGGCTTTCTCATAATCATTTCCATTATTTATACTCACAGGTCTGCATTACTAGCGTACATGGAAGAAATGGGGTGATAGATTATACTATCTTTTTCACCTTGGATTCTGTGAAACTTCCTGATGGATACATACCTCAAGTATACGATATCGTCAATGTGGTCATGGTGGAGAGCATTCAGTTCTGCTATATTTGGAGAGCGGTTTCTGTCACCCCAGCTCAAAAATCGTAATGACAAAGCATTTTTATTCTGTTTATCTTTCCTTTTATGAGCAGTAAAGGGACTGGTTTAACTGAAAAGGTTAGCTTAATAAGCCTAAATAGTATTTTACATATGGCTTTTCTGGTAAATCTAATTGAGATACTGGCTAGTTCAATTGGACCATGAACCCAGCTTAGGGAAGTGCCTTATCAATTAAAAACCACGCGAAAATAGCTCGCTAGTCACTGGAGGAAAGGAGTTCTTAATTAAAATGAACACTGCCATTAAATTTGAATTCCATATTTCCCATTAGCAGCAGCGGATTCCAGGATGATGGAGGCCTGGGACGGCCCAAAAAGGAACGTCGGAGCCAAAGCATTTAACTGAAAAGGCATCAGGGACAGCATGTTAAAGGCATGATTTAAAGTTACAATTTGACTTCAGTTTTGAGCCCCCTTTATGCTGTCTGTACAATCTGTATTGTTCCATAGTCTCTTTCATCTTCTTTCACCCACATAACTCGCACTGTTTATTGTTTCAATATGTTCCTTATTCCCCATGCTAGAATGTAAACTCCACAATGGCAGGATGTGTTTTGATCTTTTTGTTGTTGTTGTTGTTGTTCTTTTTTTTTTTCTGTTGTCATTAAAGCATCTCCAAGCACTTAGAAGAGTGCCTAACATAAAATGTTATTAAGCTCTATGACTGAATGATTGGGCCATCTATGATGTTTAGCTGCGGTTCATTCATCACTGGTTCCTTAGGAATAAAATTGTTGAGCAACGCATTAAGACCTCTGTCGATTTTTAAATAACACCAATAACCATAGAAAGCCGACTCTGCTGTACGTGAGCCTCCGTGAGCCACTTTGCTGCAGGGGTGCAGCTCATGTGAAGTCACGAAGAAACGTACAAACACAGAGCCCGTCGAAGGAAGGATAAGCTACTTACCCACTGGGAAAGGTTATACTAAAATTCCACAAGTAAACCCCATGAAACTTCATGCTTTCGTCTAATAGAACATTTAACTAGGTAGCTGTGACCTAGGGGAATGGATGTATTCAGACCTTTGAGCATAGCTTGAGTGTCGTTGTGAACTTACCCTGAGTCCTGTGATTCATAATTTCACCACTACCACTGGTCCTTGAATAAACAGAGTTGTGTTTTTACTTTACACTACAGATCCAGTGAGACCTCCCAATCATCCAGGGATTTGTTTCCCACTTGATAGGGACGGTGAAGGTCTTGTAAAATTCCCATTTTCACTCATTGGTTCACTCTACAAAATCCTACTGACTCTCTTTGATGTGCCAGGCACTGTTGAGGCTCTAGAGTTATACCCTTAACCAAAAGGACAAAATTCCAGGCCCTAATGGAACTTGTGTTCTTTCAATGCCCCCACCCCCTAACCGTCCTTGGCTTCCTGACCCATGCAGCAGTAGCTCCTATGATTGAAAGGGGCAAGCGGGAGATGTGGCAACACCAGGTGCCTGTGAATGTCGTCATTCAAAAGCAGCCCCACACCCTGTGGAATTACAGAGCAGTCCACGTTAGACTTGAGAGATGCAAGGGCCATGACTTCCACTACCTCCCACTTAATTCTGCAGTTTGGTTGATGTGGAAGAATGGTCTCTGGGAGTTATAATGCATTATGATAAGCCCAATCAGCTGGTGATTCAGTCACAGCTGCTGTTTCACAAACTTCCTCACCGGACTGAGGATCACCTGGGAGGCAGCAGTTCAGCTGGGCAGGTGGTGGGGATTGGACACATTTCCTCTACTTTCAAATAGCAAAGCCCAGAACTGCTTTGCTTTCATAAGGCCGACCAAGCGGTGGTGCATTTTGAATATTTTCCCTCAGAGATGAGCTAACTCCAAGGTTCTTTCCCACAACTGAGAATGAATTGTGTTTGATCATCTCACCCTCATCACATCTGTGTCCCTAAATGGATGACCTCATGGCACAAGGACAGATGGACCCAGGGAGTAGGAAATAGCGGACTCTGTCAGAAATGTGTTTTCCCCAGGTACAAAAGAATTGGATTGAAAACACAGGGACCTGTCACCACGAGTTTCTGGGGCTCCAGTATTCTGCCACGGAGCTTCCAACTGGCACACCATGAAGGTGTTGCAGATGTGCTGATATCAGATGCTTCTCCGCTCATTTAGGGATATATGCAATGAAGAAAATGAAATAAGATAATGATCTTTAGCCTGGTTTGGCAAACTATGGCCCTTATGCCAATTCTGGCCTGATGCCTGCAATGATTCTCAAAACATAAAGTTCTGTTTAGGTACCCAGAGCCTAATCTTGGCCCAATAGATTGAACCTAGTGTTCTTGCCATCATGATTATGCACACTGTTAATCAAAGGGGCACCTTGAAATTTCTCATCGTGATCATGGTTTCATCCTCTAACTACCTGTAGCTTTCAGAGGTTCTGGTTCATCATTTCACTCCTCTTGTGGGATGCATAAATCTTTAACTGTACATCTGCCAAAGGGATATGCTCTGTGAATGTAAACAACTCTTCTTTGTTATGCTTAGTGTATAGTTCTCTGTTTTGTCAAAATTTCAAATTCTACTTAATCAGCCATATTTACAAGGATCCCTGTTCCCTTGGTGTTGGAGAATATGGTGTTTTGAATCGAAGCTCTTATTTCTATTGGCAAACTTGAGGTTGCACGTAGACCTCCAATACCAGCCCAGGAATATGGAGTTTATACTATGTTTTCCTCTCTTTCCACCTTTCCACCTATATTGCTTCCTTCTCAGCTTTGGAGAACCCTAACTTCCATTATCCTCTGTGTATTTACTTCTTTGCACAATCCTGCCATATATGCTCTCCTACTCTGGGCAGCCTTCCATCTGTACTCTAACTCCCTGTTCTCATGGACCCTGGCTTGCAGGAGGCCTCCTTGGAACCACTTTTTGGCAGGCTCCCTGCCTGCCTTCAAATCCTTGGGTGCCCTCCTCTACAGGGAAGGGCCCCAAGAAGCATATGAAAAAAATGCTCTACATCACTAATCATCACATAAATGCAAATTAATTTTTTTTTTTTTTTTTTTTTTTTTTTTGAGACGGAGTCTCGCTCTGTCTCCCAGGCTGGAGTGCAGTGGCGCGATCTCCACTCACTGCAAGCTCCGCCTCCCGGGTTCACGCCATTCTCCTGCCTCAGCCTCCCGTGTGGCTGGGACTACAGGCGCCCGCCACCGCGCCCGGCTAATTTTGTATTTTTTTTTTGTAGAGACGGGGTTTCACCGTGTTAGTCAGGATGGTCTCGATCTCCTGACCTCGTGATCCACCCGTCTCGGCCTCCCAAAGTGCTGGGATTACAGGCGTGAGCCACCGCGCCCGGCCATAAATGCAAATTAAAACCTCAATGTGAGACCATGTCACACCAGTCAGTCAGAATGGCTATCATTAAAAAGTCAGAAAATAGAAGCTGGCATGACTGTGGAGAAGAGGGAATGCTCATACACTGCTGGTGGGAATGTAAACTAGTTCAGCCACCGTGGAAAGCAGTTTGGAGATTTCTCAAAGAACTTACACAGAACTACCAATCAACCCACCAATCCCATTACTGGATCCCATGTACCTAACTAATTATATAAATCCTTGTGCCATACAGACTCATGCACACATATGTTCACTGCAGCACTATTCACAATAGCAAATACATGGAATCCACATAAATGGCCGTCAATGGTAGGCTGAATAAAGAGTATCTGGGGTATCTATATCATGGAATACTATACAGTCAGCAAAAAGAATGAGATTGTGTCCTTTGCAGCAATGTGATGGGGCTGGAGGCCATTATCCTAAATGAATAAATGTGGGAACAGAAAACTTAGTACTATGTTTTCTCACTTACAAGTGTGAGCCAAACCTTGAGTATACATGGACACAAACAATAGACAAATAGACACCTGGGCCTATGTGATGGTGGGGGGTAGGAGGAGGGTGAGGGTAGAAAAACTACGTGATGGGTACTATGTTTATTTTCTGTGTGATGAACTAATTTGTATATGAAGCCCCCATGACATGCCATTTTCCATATAACAAACTTGTGCATGTACCCCCTGAACCTGAAATAAAAGTTGGAAAAAATTTTTAAAAGGTGGCTCTTTGACAAGATCAATACAATTTTGAACCTCTAGCTAGGCTAAGTTAAAAAGAGACAGAGAGAGAGAACACAAATACTGACATTAGAAGTGAAACAGGGGCCACCACCAACGATCCCATGTGCATTAAATGAATAATAAATAACTCCCACAGATTCCATAACCTAGATGAAATAAAACAATTCTGAAGAGGCACAATCTATCAAAACACACAGAAGAAGAGGCAGATACTTTCAATAAGCCTATGTCTATCAAGAAAATTGAATCAATAATCAATACCTTCTAAAAGAGAAATCAGGAAACCCGGCTGGGTTTACTGGGAAATTCTACCAAACACTTAAGTTTTAATTATACGAATTGTCTACAATCTCTTCGAAAGTTTGAATCAAAGAGAATTCTTCCTAACTCACTCCTTGAGGCCAGTATTACCTTAATACCAAAATCAGACAAAGATGTTATAAGGAAGGAAAACTATAGGCTAATATCTCTCATGAACACCAATGTAAATATTCCTAATAATACATTATCAAATTGAATCCAATAATGTATATAAAGAAATATACGCCATGACCAAGTGTGATTGATTACATTTGTCAAAGCCCATAGACTATGCAACACAATGAGTGAGCCCCACATAAATTACCAGCTTTAGTTAATAATAATGTATCAATACTGGCTCTTTGGTGGAAACAAATGTCCCACACTAGTGCAAGATGTGAATCATAGGGGAGACGGTGGTGGTGGGCATATGTGAACTGTCAGTACTTTCCACTCGATTTTTCTTTAAAACAAAAATAGTGTATTAGCCTAAAAATCTTGAGTATGTAGATTAAGTGAACAATTGAGAAATAATCTAGCACTGCTATTACAATCTAACAAGTCTATGTGTGTCAGGTGATGAATGGATTTGTCTAACAATGTGTCCATAACGTCCTGGGTCCCATCATGCTCTTACTCGGTAGATGCTGTGGTGTCCCTGCTGCTTCCCACACACTGGTCTGACTGCATTCTTTAACTCAGAGCAGTAGAGCCTCACATTTTTATTTTGGTGACATGGGATACAGGTGGGCTTTCTATGCCTTGGAAAAGCTGAGGCTGAAAGTGGACCTGTTCCTTCCTAAAATCTCCTGAACCACAACCTGTCTGGTACAATTCAGAGACCCCCAGAAGTGCAGTCATGGAGCCCCAGTGAGGGATCCCTATCACCTCCTTCTGTGTGAAGCAAATCCCTCCCCCGTGTTTCTAAATGGCCACAGATAC